CGCCAGGAGGCTGGTGGGCCATCCTCCTTCCTAAAAGCCCCGGATCGAGCTCTGGCATGGGCTCCAGGGTTTGGGGCTGCGGTCTCCTGAATAATCACCGTGGAGGCCCCCATTCCACTCCTCAGGATCCACAGGACCCAAGTCTCCTACTGTCGCTGCCAGATGGCGCCCCTTCCCTTTACCCCAAGGCACCCCTTCTTGATGCTAATGTCCTCCACGACTCCAGGATCAGATGCGCAGGTCACTGGAAGGTGGATAGTGTGGGCCTGGGGGGTGAGGGCTGTAGCCCTGTGACCCCCCCACCCCCAGCTGTTTGCCCCGGGCCTGAGCCGTTCTGAACAGACTTAGAGGAGGGCACCACATGGGGAAGGACGGCCATTGCCTCCCAGAGAGCACCACGGGGCACTGCGTCTGGGGGTAAGCAAGCTCCCCAAGGCAGAGGGAAGTGGGGGCCAAACCGGGGCTCCCCACCGGGGCCCATATTGTCTCTGGTCTGGGGAAGAATGAGCCAGAGGGCAGGCAGCCCCAGGACACATTCACGTGCACAGGACCTGGGGAAGTGTAAGATTAGTGAAGCACATCCACGTCAATAGCCTGGTTGATGACGTAGGAGTTTTCCAATTATGTTGCCGCTGAGGAAGGGTACCTGGGACCTCTCTACACTGGTAGAATGTCTTAGAAATGCACAGGAATCTACCATTAGGTTGGGGGGCAGGCGTCTGAAACGTTCCTCGCCCATCCTGCTCTGAAAGGCTGGGCCCGTCGACTAGGGAACTAGGGAGCTGGGGCTCCAGTCCTCAGTGCTGCCCCCCGGAGGCCAAAGCCTGTGACTCTGGAAATGAGCTTTTATTACACCAGCTGCCTCCACCGGGAAAGGGGCCCAGGGCCCAGGAACCGTCCCTTGTAGGCTGGGAGTGGGAGGAACGGGCAGGGGAAGTGGCCGGTACTGCAAGACGGGGACCCACTGGCCAGGCAGCACCCTCAGGGCCTCTGTGCTGTCCCTGGTGGGGGTCAGAGATGAGCAGCGTGGGTTGAAATAAATACCACCGCAAGGGGGTGGGGAGACAGTGCGCAGGAGGAAACAGAGACAAGGCATCCCCTGCGGGTTACAAAGAGGAATCTGATGATAGTTGGGAGGGTCCCGCAGGGAAGGCAGGTCTGGTCGTGGAGCTGGGAGAGGGCAGTCCCCACGATCAGGAGTCCGGGGGTGGGGGGAGTAGGCGGTGGTGAGGCCCCGAGATGAGAAGTCGACCTAACCCTGGAGGCAGGAAGCTGAAGGTGCCTGGGTCAGAGCCATTGGCTTGCCCTCAGGGCTGGCAGGCCGTCAAGACGGAACATTCAGGGACCCCTGGGGTGAGACAGGGGGTGTGTGTGTGGACTGTAACAGTTATGGGACCATTTGGGGTCTAGGTCCAGGGGCTCAGCGGCCCAGGTGCCCCAAAGGGGGCCACAGCTTTGCGATTTCGGAGAAAGGCGGACTGTTTCACTTCGAAGTTGGTGATGAGGAGATGGGTGTTTTTTGTGTCCCTGATTTGGGCTAAATGTCATCGTGTCTCCTCCGACACAGGCCTTTGGCCACAGGTCCTTCCGAGGAGCGTCTCCTCTGGGGGAGCGTGAGCTGCTCTGGCCTGAGGAGGGGGGGGTGCCCAGCCCCAGGTGCAGCTGAGGAGGTGGGGGGATCGAGGCCGACCCTCCGGTTGAGGGAGGGCTGGGGGGAGGCCCGTCATCCATGGAGGCAGGTCTCTGTGTTCTGTTTATCAGGTTCATTCGGAGGCTGGGGTCACCTGGGGTGGGGTCCGCCAGCCCACCAGAGAGTCACGGGAGCTCTCCCATCAGTGGCCCCCTTCCAGCGACCGGACAGTGATAGCACGCAGCCAGATCAAGTCCTCCTGCTCAGAGCGTCAGGAAGAGAAGCCACTCTGACTGAAGAGAGAAAAAGAGAAAGACATCGTGGGCTGCCAGGTCCCCTTGGCGGAACCTGCCTCCACGTCACGGCTCAGCCTGGCCGCTTCTGCCCACTGGGGCAGGTGCATCGTCCCTAGAGAGGGGTTGGGAGGCCCTTGGTCTGGCCCGGCCCCTCAGGACCCTGTCCACCCCCACCGGGTCACGGTGATGGGACAGGTTGTTCACTCCCGCTACACGCAGCAGCGTGGGCGGATGGCAAGGGAACTCTGCTGAGTGAGAAAAGCCAACCTCAACAGGATTCCATTTACACAGCATCCCCGAAACGACAGACTACAGACAGGGGCCAGGTGGGCGCCACTATGAAAGGGAAGCTGCTCTGTATCGACTATGGGGGTGATGACACAAACGTATGTGCGGGGAAATAGCACAGGCTCAATTGCCAAAGCGGTGACTTATGAACACAGGAGGTATGGACGTCAGTCTCCTGGTATGACACTGTCTTCAGACTCATCTGCCGGATGTCACCGCAGGCGGGACTGGGTGAAGGGCACCTGAGAGGTCTCTGTGTTATCTCTGACAACCGCGTGGGAAACTAGGATTACCTCAAATTTAGAAGTTTAATAACTACCTCCCCCTCCCACCCCCCACCCCCGCCCGAACCAAAGAAAAACAAGAGCCAACCTCTGGGCGGGCACTGGAGACAGCTAGCAGATACAGGAGGGAGGGGTGGGCAATGCTTGGGAGAGTTTAAAGCCGGGCACAGGACAACTACAACATGAGGGGCGGGTGAGGATCACACATGGACAGAAATGGCTTCAAAGTTGCTAGGTTTTTGGTGAAGCAGTCCGGAACTCTCACCAAGTAAACCGAAAAGTTCAAGGATGCATATTGTAATCCCCGGAGCTACGAGTAAAAAGTAATGCTAGGGGCGCCTAGGAGGCTCAATCGGTTAAGCGTCCGACTTCGGCTCAGGTCACGATCTCGCGGTTTGTGAGTTCAAGCCCCACGTCGGGCTCTGTGCTGATGGCTCACAGCCTGGAGCCTGCTTGGATTTCTGTGTCTCCCTCTCTGCCCCTCCCCGCTCACGGCTCTGTCCTCTCTCTGTCTCTCAAAAATAAACATTAAAAAAACAAACTTAAGGATGTATTATAATTCCTGAAGCTACGAGTAAAAAGTGATGCTGGGGTGCCTGGTTAAGCACCTCAGTCGGTTAAGCGTCTGAACCTGGATTTCGGCTCAGGTCACGATCTCACCGTTTGTGAGTTCGAGCTCTGCATCGGGCTCTGCACTGTGTCACCATGGAGCCTTTCTCCCCCTCTCTCTGCCCCTACCCCACGTTCTCTCTCTCTCTCCCTCTCAAAAATAAACAAAAAAGATTTAAAAAAAAAGAATGCTAAAATAGGAAGAGTGGAATCCAAATGGAAGCCTCCAAAAATATTCAGTAAACCCAAAGGGAGGCACATGGAGAACAAAACAGAACACGTATTGAAACACCAGCCATAAAACCCCAGCAGCCCTATCAACGATTGTATTAAATGCACTCGGACTAAGCCCCAGGGCCTGGTGTGGGATGACGCTCCCCACCCCCACCCTGAGCCTCCCAGACTTTGGTGGGTGCCCAAGGCCAAGGATTCCCACTGGGTTTGCTGAGTGGGAGTGGAAACCAGCCTGTGCCACTGATGTATAGTGGAGAGACCCGGGGCTCAGGCAGACACAGCCTCAGGCCTGACGGTGCTCAGCAACCCCTGGGAGCTGGCACATAGCTGAGCCGATAAAATCAACCTGTGGCTTACACCTCTGGAGCCTGCTGTTAACTTAGAACCAAAAGATTCGCCTCCTCCAGGAAGTCTGCCCAGCGCCCCTTCCCAGCCTCACCCACTTCCTCCTCCCTTCCCTGGAGTGAGGAAGATTCTCTGACCAAAGTCTTTTTCAGCTGGGCCTCAACTTCTGGGCTTCTGTGTTCATCTCAGCACTGTCCAATTGTGGCAAGAACCCTGCTACTTAGCTTAAGCTGGAATCCTCCCCCGCCCCCCCCATATCTGATCACTCTCGGTACCTAATGGGCCCCTTCCTCCCCATCACCCCTGGGGCGCAGTCTGATAC